GGCCTTTCCTGTCTTCCTGTACCCAGGAAGGCTGAGCTGTACAAAGGGCCCACGTCAGAGGAAGACCCCAGACACTGTCTCCTTATTCTGGGCACTGGATCCAGGGGGTGTGATGCACAGAGGTCTCAACCCGAGACCCAAGACCTGAGGAACAAAGGTGACTGTGAGGAGGTTTTGCATTTTGGCTGTCCTTGAGCTTTTTTTCCTTTTTCCTTCTTTTTCTTTTTCTTTTTCTTTTTCTTTTTCTTTTTCTTTTTCTTTTTCTTTTTCTTTTTCTTTTTCTTTTTCAAATCCCACAAAGGGATAGAGTCCGGATGGAAGGATATCAGCATATCCTGCTCCTGGTCTTCATCAAGAATAGCCTTTTATTTTCAGTTGCAAAAGTAACACGTGCTCATTGCAGCAACTTGGAAAACACTGAAAATATAAAGAAAATGAAATTCACCTGTAATTCCATACAAACCATAAACCAAATGAACATTCGGATCTAGTTTCTAACAGTTTTTGTTTTTTGTTTTGTTTTGTTTTAAGCAGAGTTGAGATCACGCATATCTATATATAGCATTTTGCCCTCCTGAGAGCAGGGAACACGTCTTCTGTGACTTCGTGAACACTGTGTATATTGCTTAAGCAAACCAAGCTTTCAGTGAGTGTTTTAATGAATAAACCAATGCTTCATTTTATCAGAAACTATTCCATGCTCTTAAAAATATTATGAACACTCTTGAATTTCTGCCTACTTAGATCACTGTTACGTTCCTTGCATGGGAAGCAGTATCTGTTGAGTGAATAACCATTATCCTATCATTGAATGTTTATTAAGCATTTGAAAATATACTCAGCCTTTCCAGTATCAAGGCATTTAAGGCAACAGTAAAACATCCATGACGGCGGTAAGCATCGAAAGCTGGATAGCAAGTGTGCGCCTGTGTCTGCGCGGTGGGCGTGGCCTGTGCTGCAGATGGTAGTAGACCTGGTGCCAGTGCTTGGGAGGAGTGACTGTCTGTCGGTAGCCGGTCTAGTTGGGGGTGAACAGAGATGAAGACCCAGCCGTTTTACTCCTGGGCATTTAGTCTACAGCAGGGATGGGCAAGCTTCCTTCGCAAAGGGCCAGAGAGTTAATACTTGAGGCTTCATGGGCCTCGTGCTCTCTTGTTAGGACTATTCACCTCTGCTGTTACAGTGTAAAGCAGTCAGGGACAATACATAATGAGTGTGGCAGAGTTCCAATAAAACTTTATTTATAAAAACAATAAAGTGGACCAGATTTGGCCCGAAGGCCATAGTTTGCCACCCCTTGGTCTAGAGAGACCATCTCCCTGCATGCAGGCTAGGAGGCGTATGTAAGGATGTTGATTGCAGGGTTCCTTGTAATAATGAAAAGTTGGCAAAAACAGATCTTAGTCCTTTAGGAGCAGGCTGGACAAACCAAGTGTAGTCGCACAATGGAAAACTAAATTGTGGTTAAAATGAACTAGATCTTGATGTGTTTAATGCAACTGAATCTCAAAAAATACGTTTACTCAAAAAGTAAGTTGCAAAACAGAATTGTAGCTTAACACCATCAGTGTACATAGGAGTTAAAGATGGGAAACAGCCCACAGATGCGTGTGTCGTGCAGGTGGGGCTCATGGGCAGGAGTAACAGATGCCAGCCACCAGCCAAAGGCTGCCTCTGATGGTCAAGAACCTGGCCCTTGGACTCCTGGGCGCCTGGATGCAAATCCTGGCTCTGCCATTACCTAGCACTGTGACATTGGTTAACATATTTAACTTCTTTGAGTCTTCACTTCTTCATCTGTTAAACAGAGGTAATTATACCTATCTTGTAGGATTTTTGATTAAGTGAGATGAGTTATGTAAAACATTTAGACTATGAAACTCAGTAACCCTTAGCTCAGTAAGTGGTATTTTTGTTACTGCTTGACATATGTAATTGGTATTTTTCCTTCATTCTTTCCCTGTTTTCCGCATAGCATATATTCCCAGACAAGCATTGCTGGGAAGGGTGGGGTAGAGGCCCCTGACATGGTGAGAGTGTCTGCGTTGCGCCTGGTGCTGTGGGAAGCTCAATCCGTTTCACCAGTTATATCGTATTTAACCTTCATAATAAATCGTGTGAGGCGCAGAGTTATTCCCATTTTACAGAAAAGGAAACTGAGGCTAAGAGATGAACAGGTTTAGGTGAGGCTGCCTTTACAAGCCAGCAAGCCACAGTTGGCTGACCGCGAATGGTGCCTTGTTCCCTCTTGCCAGCATCCTTTACTTTTCCTCTCGGGGATCTGCTGTTTTCCATGCTTTCAGCTCAGGTTGTCTGCAGCAGTCCTAACGTCGTTCTCTAAGTTAGGGAAGACGGAGAAACACGTGACTCCAGGGGGAGGTGATGTGACGTGGGGAAGGGGCAGAGCCTAGTAAGAGGCAGAGTTGGAATTAACATGCATCGGGCTCTGAAGCTCCTGTAGTGAAAATCCACTTGGAGAAAAAGAAAACTACAGTCGCGATGCTCTTACTGTCATTTGTCCAAACCAGGAGCGGAGTCCAGCGTTCTGAAACGTGATGAATCTTGAAAAGTACCTTTTGCAGTGCCAACTGGTGCCTGCTGAGGCCCTGCGACCCCCATCCCTGGACTCTCAGATGTCTGCCTGCAACCGTTCAAAAAAACCAAAGCACACGCCTTCCTAACGCGTTTGTCTCAGCAGAGTTAACAGCCCTGCGAAACGGCTAGTCTCACCGCAGCCCAGGCTGACTTGTCTCAGCCCACGTCTCCATCTTGCTGGGGTCGTAGATCCACTCTCCTCCCGTGTACCAAAGCCCCTGCCGCACTCACAGCCAATCAGAAGTCTGTTCCCCTGTCCCTTTGTGTTCGCAGCCCTGTCCCCAGATCCCTCTGCACGTTCACACTGGGTGGACACGCGGGCACCTCTTGCGTCTGTGGCCCGCTGTTGCCTGTAACAGTGAACCTGTTAAACTTTCCTTTGCTCTTAAACTTCCCCTTGCCTTTGCTAAATTCTTCTTACCAACGTCACCCGCCCACCACCAAGTGTCCCCCAACATTTCTTTTGAAAGTTCTGGAAGGGAATTTTCCAGAGCATCTTCTCCACTCAGGCTTGATACTTTGGAATGTGACGTTTTCTCGGTGGAGCAGTAGTTGTACGTAGGGCTGATTTGGAAAGACAGCCTCCTAACTCCCCATCCCAGCGCCACCCTGTTATGTAACTTTGCAGTCAACATCTTCTGTCCCAAATTGAATTGCCAGTTCCTCATCTATAAAATACAATTATCATTCAAGTCCATCCTTGGGTATGATTTTCTAATTTTCGAGAGTTGCTGTCTGATGCTGTTATTCCACGGGATATTTGCAAGAACTATCACTGGGTAGTGCAGTTTTTGAAAATTTAAAGTGTGAGAAAAATTAGCCATGTTTGAACAATTGTGAATTGATAGAATTTGTTACAGTTTTAAGCCTATGAATAGTGGTGTTTTATTATTGGCAGTTTCTCACTTCACCCTGTAGGAAGCAACTGGGTATTTCCTTAAATATTTAAACCTGTAATCAGACTTTTAAAACATGGAAATAGCATAGTTTTCATGAAAGATGCCAAAGCTTTATTTTTTTTTTAATATTCAAGCTTATTTTGAGGGGGTGTTAATTCTTTATTTTTTTTAATGGAGGTACTGAGGACTAAGCTGAGGACCTTGTGCGTGCTAGGCACACTCTGTACCACCGAGCTATACCCACCTGCTCAAAGCTTTGCTTTGACATCAGCGACCCAGAATACTTGTTAGTGTGAAAATTAAAGAAGCAGGTGAGTTTAATTTCGATAACATGTCAGCCAGTAGGCACCTTGGATTCTGTCACGATGCTGTCATGCTCTGAGGTGGGTTCTTCTGAGTTCCTTTTTAAAAAAAAAATTTATTTTTAAATTGTTTTACTTTATTTGGAGGGGGTGATTAGTTTTGTTCTTGTTTTTTTATGGAGGTGCTGGGGATTGAACCCAGGACCTCGTGCATGCTAAGCATGTACTCTACTCTACCACTGAGCTATTTACCCCTCCTCCCTGAGTTCTTGAAATGTAAGTTACTAGGACAGTCACTGGCCAACAGGTTTGGGAGGAGTTAGTCTCCCTTGCGCATGACTGATGCATGTTGAGGATGGTCAGAAAGCAGATCATTCTTTTACTCAGCAAAGATTTTATTTTAATAAAAACTCTACTTTTTAGGATTAAACGTGGTTTTGGATGGCCCTCAGATGGCAAATTTGTTTTTATTTTTGGTGTGTCTCAAAAATTGTAGGCACTCACCAAAAGAGTGGGTCATATTCGTATTACTGTTTTAAATAAGCTTGGCACAATTTATTATTATATTTGATTTTATTTTTATTTTTTAAAATAGAGTTTATTCTTTTAGAGCAGTTTCAGGTTCACAACAGAACTGAACAGAAAATATGGAGTTCACACATAGCCCTCCCCACTCACACTTACATACTCCCCGCTACCCTCAACATCCCTCATCAGTGTGACGTATTTGGTACAATCGATGAACCACCAACATGGGCACATTATCATCAACCAAAGTCCACAGTTTACATTAGGGTTCACGCTTGATGTTGTGCTTTCTGTGGGTTTTGGACACGATGTATTGTTAATTGGAAAAAAAGCCCAGATGTAATATGGTGCACATAAGGGGTTTGTGTACATAAATGTAAGAGATACTTAAGTTTAGAAGAATTAAAAGAAGTTCATATTGGCTCTAAATATTTCTTAACATTCCCCTCCCCATCATGATGAAGTAAAAAAAATAAAAGATTTGTAACTAAAATCATCAAGTAAGTTCAGATGGACTCTTTGTGTTTGAGGATAGAATTTAAAAAAAAAAAATTCCAAACACACAGATTGTATGCTAAGTAATTTTTTATGTAGCACCAAACATCAGAATGATGAAAAACTTGAATTCATCGGGGTTTTCAAGGATACCGAGATATTTGCGTTATAAAGACATTCTGACGGTTAGTGGAATTTGCCCTTTATTGGTAACCTTCAAACTTCTAGCTGTTTTTTTTGTTTTTTTAACAGAAACCCAGAGTGTCTTAGAAGTGTGCTTTTCAGGGCGTTATAACGTTGTAGCCATTTCTTCATAGGTGAAGTATGTCTGGAGAAGAAAGATAAAGTCCTTCACTGGGGCCTTTAATGCTGTCCTTTAGAGCAAAGTTGTTGTTTTTTTGCTTTAATCAGGCAGTGACTTTTAAAAGAGAAAAACACATTGTATCTTGGGACTGTTTTTTGTGATATAACTCAAATTAGTAATCATCTTTGGTAAAGTTCATTTGATAATAAATGATAGTGTGTCAAGAAGAAGTTTTTGTATTTTTAGTTCATTTACATAAAAACCACCACCTGACTGATTATTAAAATTTGTATACTACTGTGTTTTGCTTGAAAAAATGTTGACTTTTCTGTTTTGTTTACTTGTGTGTTTAAAAAAGTATGCTTCATCTCAGCCTCCGTGTTGAAAGGAAGTGGAATGGTGAGGAGGAATTTAGAAGAGTGATTTTTTTATGACTTAAGACTGAAACCACATTTCTTTCATAACCATCCTCCCGGTGGCCCAGACCGGAACAGAATCACTGCATGGCTGCACTGGCACCGAACCTGCTCCACGTGTCCTCAGAGCCTCTGCACACAGGACCCGTCGTGTGCACGCGGGCTGGCTTCTCGCCTGCTGTGGGCTCTTAGAGCAGGGGGTGCCCTGTGGCCCTGCGCCTGGCCGGGAACGTGGGCGCCCCGAGCTGCGGGCTCATCCTTCATTGAGCGTAGTTCCTGTTTGTGCTGAGCCTGATTATCTGTCCCGGGCAGAGCCCATCCGAGTAGGATGAGGGCTACAGTCTGTAACCACGGGAAAGGGATTTTTCTTCGGGTAAAAGAATTATTAAAGATAAAAACCAGTGATTCTTTGTCTGTAACTGGTGGCCTTCACCAACCAAGACAGACACGAAAACATTAGCTGGGGGCTGCCTCGTCTGCCAGTGAGTTACAGTGGTGGAGCGTTTGGAAATGAGGTTGTGACATTTCTTTTTTGTTTCACTGAAAACACAGCTGGCAGATGCGGGGAGACTGTAGCTTTGTGTGTCTTGTGTGACTTACGTTCACCTGTCGAGTTCTCTGCCGTTAATCCAGGGTGGATTGTGGGTCAGGGACTTAACATGATTCTCATGCAAACCTTGCGAGATGAGGGTGGAAACAGGAGGAGGCCTCACAGTTTATGCTGGGGAGAGTCAGGGTTTAAACAGCAGTCCGTCTGCCTCTGAAGCTTCTGCACTTTGTAGCAAACACATAGCCCCCCAGGGATGGGTAGCAGGGGAGGGACACGGGGGGTTTCTGCTGGGAGCGGATGAAGAACATTTTGCCCTAAAAAGTTGACCAATGACCATTTAAGTGACGCGTCAACGTTCTCTCCCCGTAGGCATTAAAGACTATTCCAACTGGCCCACCATCCCGCAGGTGTACCTCAACGGCGAGTTTGTGGGGGGCTGTGACATTCTTCTGCAGATGCACCAGAACGGGGACCTGGTGGAAGAACTGAAAAAGCTGGGGATCCGCTCCGCCCTTTTAGATGAGAAGAAAGACCAGGACTCGAAATGAGGGCGGCCGGGGCCAGGCAGCCACCGGCGTCAGAGACTCAGCGCCAGAAAAGCCTTACGATTTTGGTTTTCACTCTTCAGACAGCTGCCGGCCCTGATTCTTCCAGTCTGTGAGCAGTCGGGTGATTTTAGCGTGTCTTGTGCCGGGCAAGGAGTATCCTGTTGTGAACGTAATTGTAACCACTGCACTGTAATAATCAATGTTGTATTAGGAGATCATTGTAAGCACAGTTTCTTCTTCTATTGTCCTTTGCTCTTTGCCTGATTCAGGAGTAAAAATAGGAGCTTTTGAATCATCATTGTCACTTGTGAGTCCTCTGCAAATGTATCAGTCTGCAAAGATAATATATCCCCCCTTCAAGTTTTTTGTAACTTGTTCTGTTAAGAAAAATGATGGACAAGGAAGAAAATAGGATAACTGGGGTGTTTTTTTAAAAATAAACTGCCAACCCAGGGGTACGGTGTGTGAGTTGTTAATCTGAATAGCAGTGAGTCTGTGTCTTAGCCCATGTGGGCTGCTGTAACAGAATGCTGCAGACTGAATGGCTTAGAAACAACAGATATTTTTCTATCAGGGAAAAAAAAAAAAAAGAAAACACCAGATGTTTGTTTTTCACAGTTCTGGAGGCTGGAAGTCCAGGATCAAGGCTCTGGCAGGTTAGGTGTGTAGGGAGGACCTGCCCCTGGTTCGCAGAGAGCCGTCTTCTCACCGTGTCCTACAGAAGCTCTTTAGGGTCCCTTTGCTAAGGGCACTAATCCTGTTCATGGGGGCTTCACCCCCCCACTACCTCATCACCTCCCAAAGACCCCACCTCTTAAAACCATCACTTTGCGGGGTGTGTGTTAACACAGGAATTTTGAGGGGACACAGGCGTTCAGTCTGTAGCAATCTGTAAGGATTTTTATCACCTCTGAACTTTTGATTTTAGGAATTAAGAGTGATTCTCATAATCTTCTGTTCAGTTTGCCCCTAAAATTGCCATCAGTCTGTGTTCTAATTTCTCAAGGAGAAGTTAAGTATTGTACATGCTGAGTGGTGGTGATGGTCCAGTTAGGGCTGGGGTGGACTGGTGAGAAGTGAGGTGGGGCAAGACCTGTGCGTGGCCAGCTGCGCTGCAGCTGGATGGGGAGAAGCCGTTAGTCGTCCAAAGAATGGGACCTAATGCATATTTTATTTCTTAAGAATGGGGCCTTTATACAGAAGGACGTAAGTGGAGTCATAGCCAAGATCTTCCCGTATATGGTACCTTTATGACAAGGCTGTCACTCCACCCTGAGTCTGGCGGTAGAGCTGGAGGTAAGCTTTATGGCAGCTCACGGGCAGAAAGCCCATACTGGCACGGTGTGCCTCTGGGTCCCCAGAATCATGGCTTAAACAGAGCATCTATTTAGAAGCGCATCTTTACAGTGGCAGAGGTAGGAAGAAGATGCATTTTTTAATGAAAAGGGCAAAAATGACAATATGGAAAGAAGGATGGCTTATCCCTCCAGAGCCATTCTGGAGCCTTGTTCTGTGTGACTCTTTAGTCTGCATGAGTACCTCCTGGACAGACTGATGGTGGACAGACTTAGTGAGGGAAGGGTGGACCTGCTGGGGCTGGTAGCTTGCAGTGCTGCCCCTCCCCGAGAGGTTTTGGGGTTCCCAGAAGAAAAGGGAGGCCAGTTATAGTCTTGCCCCCGCTTCACTCGGGACTGTTCTGTCGGGTGAGAGGCCTGCCCCTTGTAAATCCCAGCGCTCCAGGCTTCAGGGGGAAGAACAGCAGGTTCTTGTCACAAAGGTTTTGTGTTACGCGACTTGCAGGCTGCATCCATCAGTAAGTTTTATGTCTGCTCTAAGAGCTTACACAGACTTGGAGGAGGTTGGAGCTCATTTGTTGGAAGCCTTTTGTTTACAGATCGAAGCGAGGCACTAGAAGGAAGCCCTGTGCTGCTGCTATGCTGTGGCCAAGCCGAGGTTATGACCTGTCCTTTGGAAAGAATACCACGAACAAGTCACTTTTTACTGTCCCTGGATTTGTACCAGGCCGTGGGCCCACGCATGAGTCTGCAGAATTGTCCCTTGCCTTCACATCGGGTGGGTCATACGGTGCTTTTCCATTGTTTTGCTCCTTTTGGCTTTTCCTTAAATCTGCCTGTATACCCTTAGGGTTCATCGGAAAAATGACGAGAAACTTATTTGCAGGGAAACATCCATGTAAGAAACCTCACGAGAATATTCGCACTAGGGCAGAGCCGCCCAGTGAACAATTTGACGCCAGTGCTTAGGAGTCACAGTGAGATCGTATCAGTCACCAGAGAGCCCAAAAGTTTAAGGAATCACCGGACTCTGCAGAAATGGGAATGTTCTTTCCAGAAGTTAATTAATACTTTTTTTTCTATTATGACAAGTCTTTGCCAAATGGGAAATTGAAGATGCTATCTGATGTCAGCCTGAATAATTGTAATGATCTGCATAATTAGAATTCGCCATGATAATTGGAACTGTGACACCAAAGTTCCTTGTACAAACAGCAATATCACACATCTGTTTAAAATGCAAGCTCTGCTTCACGGTTTTCCCCTGGAGTACATTGGCTTGTATCATTTGATTTGATGTATTGGATTTTTGTCACAACTTCCGAGTATTGTTATTAAATAGACCCTTTAGAAATAGAAGGAGTTATTTTAGAAAATTAAACATTTTGCGTGAGTTGAGGTGGTTTTTGTCTCACAAGCTGGTAGTTACCTAAATGTCATTACACTTCATTTAAGCTATGAGCTTTGGAGATATTTTAGAACAGAAGGGTAGATTTATGACGTCTTGGGTTTCGTGTTATTGGCCCTATTGAATTGACTTGGGTAGAATCTGAGACCTCAAGCTTTCCTGTAATTATTAAAGCCACAACAGCTAGCTCGAGAGAGAATTCTTGTAAATTTATTAAAGAGCTTAGATAATTTAGAGAAAAATTGTGTCTTGAGAAGTTGGGTCCTTTGTTATTTGTGACAGGAAAGATTGTGCTAAGGGTTCAGAGGAGTGACCTTTGTGTTGGCAAAGTTAATGTTGGAGTGAATTTAAACCAGAGGCAAGGGAGCTTCCAGGTTTGTTCCTGAGAATCACTGACAGGCAAAAATAGATACTGGTGGATGGTCACACAAAAAAGAAGCTGATTTGATAGCTATTTTTAAAAAATCCATTTCATATTCTGCTTAAGAATTGGTTAGTAAATCTCAAAAATTGCTTTAAGTTAGACTAGGAACTCTGTGGCAGCTAATCTGAGGGAGAGGGGAGGACTGGTGAAGGGGGAGGAGCTGGTTTCAAGCCCAGGTGCCAAGACAGCCACAGAGTGTCATAGACGGACTTGCAGGAAGTTGCGTCCTGTCCTGTTCCTGAGAGTAGATCCCTGCAGGTCTGAGAGCCGCACGGAGCGTCCTGCTGAGACGTGCAACGGCAGAGCAGGCCTCATTGGGCAGAGACGAATGAAGCCTGGGGGAAGGTGCCCCAGGCTCCCCCAGGTGTGTGGACACGCGACCAGGCCAGTGATCCCACTGGGGTTCACTTGGTGAGCTTCCAAGTGGCAGGAAGTGGGTGTTTTTGCCAGGGAGCAAAGTGCTCTCCCAGGAAGCCCTCATCTTCTGCTGGGCTTCCCCTCTGACAACCTCAGACCCAGCCCTGGGCCCCTGGCATCAGTTTCTGCACATTCGCACCTGTTGTCACCTGTTAGCCTCCCTAGGGATGGGCCCTGAGTTCTCACTTCCCTCCCTCCCCCACTCCCTCCTCTGTCTGCCATCCCAGCCCTTTCCTTTGTCCCTTTTTTCTTCTGTCCCCTCTGGTTGTTAGCAATGTGGTCCAGTAAGGCTTTTAGATCCCCAGGCATTGGAATTTTTAAACAGTTAGTTGATTTCTACTTTGATAATACAATGAAAGTCAGCAAACCCCTGCCTTTCACCTTTCAACACAGTCTTGTTTTCCAGAGGCCACCAGTTTCCGTTCTTAAGCTATTTCTTCTATTTGCCTCCAGATTTCTTAATAATATGCTTATAATCGCTATTTCTTTGCTAATCAATTTCCGACATTATGTCATCTTTTTACCATTTTGCTAGAAAAGGATTCAAGGCTCTTACATCATCACCAACACCCCACACCCAACTTCTCCCTTATTCATCACACAGTTATAAAATTTTTAGGCTAAATTGACGGTCAGTTTGAAAGAGAGAGAAAATCAGTGGATTAATCATTGGTTAGGTGGGTTAGGAAGGAAAAGACCTCTATCAGAATAAGGATGTCGAGAGGGGACCTTTATGATTGGATCACGGAAGAAGACCCCCTCTTCTGAGGTAATGCTGCAGCAAAGAGCTTCCAACTTTTAATTCTGCTACCTGTTTAAAAATATTATTTCTGGGAGCTCTTATTCACTGACTAATCTCTTTAAAAATAAAAATTTACTAGCTAACCATTGTTAAGTACTTTCTTGTTGTATAACCATCACTACCATCCATCTCCAGAACGCTTTTCATCTCGTAAAATTGAAACCCTGCACCCATCAAACAACTCCCCATCCCCCCCTCCCCTCCCCAGCCCCGGCCACCAGCAGTCTACTTTGTCTCTGTAAATCTGACCACTCCAGGTAGCTCCTAGATGTGGAATTATATGACATGTGTCCTTTTGTGAATGATTTATTTCACATAGCATAAGGTCCTCAAGGTTCATCCACATCGTAGCATGTGCCAGTCTTTTTTTAAAAGCTGAATAACATTCCTTTGTGTGTCTGCACCACATTTTGTTTATCCGTTTGTCCATCGATGGACACTTGGTTCGCTTCCATCTTTCGGCAGCTGTGAATACTGCTGCTGTAGACGTGGGTGTACAAAATGACTCTTTGAGACCCTGTTTTCGATTCTTTGGGGTATATACCCAGAAGTGGAATTGCTGGATTTTACATTAAATCTATGTTTGATTTTTTTTGAGAAATGGCCACTGTTTTCCATAGCGGCTCCACTATTTTACTTTCCCACCAATAGCGCACAGACGGTCCAGTGTCTCCACACCCTCGCCAGCACTTCTTACTTTCTGTTTGTTTGTTTGTTTGTTTGGGTTTGGTCTGGTTTTCAGCCCTCCTAATGGGTATGAATGAATCCCTTTTCTAGCCGCTTGTTCTGCCTTTATCCTTCATGGATGCAATACCTTAGCTCTGAGGCTATTACTTACAGCTTTTTATTATAATTATGATTAAACCATTCTTTAAAAAAAGTTCTGCATTCTCCTTGAGCATCCAGGTTTCCTCTGTCTGTTTGGGCCTCTCTTTTGTGCTGGAGACTTTCCAGCTGGAGGCTTAGCTACTGGCTCACATTTGAGAAGTAAAGGACCCATCAGGGGCTTGGGATCGAATAGGGGACTGGGGAACAGTGTGTGTTGTGTGTGTGTGGGCGGTGAGGCTGGAGGCGCCGGCTGCCGGGTGGGTTTCCCTGTACCACATCTGGATGCTGAGCTGACCTTCTATTGGCGAACTCTCACATCTCACATGTCAGTATTTGAATGTCTATTCTCTAAGGCTGTTTAATTTTTCCAGAGAAGACTCTTCCATCCCACCCAGGGGGTGTGGCCCTGTCTACCTTCTAGAAGCTAGAGTAGAAGGCTGGGGGGCTCTTTCTTCAGAGTGCAGGTCCCCGGCCACTCTGGTTTTCAACCCCAGGCCTCCCACCTCCTCTATTGTCCCCTAGTCCCCGGGGTGGGGAAGTGGGGCCCCGCTGGGTGAGGTGGAGGAGGAGGAGGAGGGGTCCTGCAGGTCTCTTGCTTCACACCCTTACTTCCCCCCTCGTGCCCCCGCCTCTAGCCCTGGGCCACCCCTCCTGTGTGGTGCCTGCAGCTCGGCCTTGCCACACACACCTTCCTGCCCCGCAACCTTGGGGAGTTCTCTGTCTCCTCTGGCCTCCTCCCTTTCCCCCGTCCTCGTGTCTTCATAGTATTTATCATTTATATCTATTTGTATCTTTTTTATTCATTTACTTTCCTTTTAGTTTAGAGAGGAAGCCAAAACAAATCCAGGTGATCAATCCCCATGATTAACTTCACGTTTCTTTTTTAAGCAGAATTTTCTCAGAATTTGTTCAGATCACAAAAACAATTTGTTTTCCTTTAGAAAACACTGAGGCCTAGAAAGAAGGAAAAAATAGGCCAATGGCCCCACTCACGGATGAAAGACACTTTTCACAGGGCCCACTTCCTTCTACTTGCTGTTCTTCACGTCGTTTTGCACAGTTCAGGGCAGGCTGTAAAGACAACCTTCTGTTCCACTTTTTCTGCTTTTGGTATCACAGTGTGCGCGTTTCCCAGGTCATGACGCTTTGGGAAATGTTTCGAATAGCCGTGAAAATTGCTCCTTGTACCAAAGTTTGCTTTATTATCCTATTGTTTGCCTGCTGGGCTGTTTTCAATGCGAAGTTTAATACCGTGCTAAAGGTTTTTGTGCAAAAAGTTTATTTTATTTTAAAAGTTTTAAAGGGGAGATCGGTTTGGCCACAGGTAAGGCAGAGGGTTGAATGGTGGTCCCCCCAACAGATACGTGACACCCTAACCCCTGGCACTCACGGATGTGACCTGAGTGGGAAAAAGGGACTTTGCAGGCGTGATTAAGGACCTTGAGATGGGGTGATGGTCCTGGGTTATCGGGGCAAGTCCTAAATCCGGTGACAAGTGTCCTTATACGTACAAGACAGAAAAGGAGACACGCGGAGGAGGAGGTGATTGATGTGAAGAGAGACGTGGAGACTGAGGTGATGCAGCCACAAGCCGGGGAAGCCCAGCGGACACCGGAAGCTGGAAGAGGCAAAGAACCGCTCCTCCCCTCCAGCCCCCGGAGGGAGCACGTCCAGCCTCCAGGCCTGGGAGAGAGCACATGTCCGTTGTTTTAAGCCACCAAGTTTGTGCTGCTTTGTCATGGTGGCCCCGGGAAATGAATACAGGTGGATTCTAAGAAATGGTGCTGATGGTCAGAGATATGAGTATTTCCAGGTCATCAATTTCAGCCTGTAAAACGCAGTTTATACTATCATCCCAATAAACACAGTCATTTTAATTTTGGTACATTTCTTTCACGTCGTGTCATCTAATCACATTTACTGAGTGCTCGCCACGTCACAGCAGCTGGAAGCTTCGCGAGGCCCGGCGTCTCCACTTTGTGCCCTGACGCGTTGCAGGTGCTTAGACTCACACCTGGCACGCGGTAGACGCTTACTTACTGAATGGATGGACAAGTAATGGGGGTACGATTCTGAGTAAGATGCAGCTCCTGGTGAGTCTAGTTAATGAGGGCCACGGTTGAGCACCAGGAAACCCTGGAGCGAGAGCAGAATCTGCATGGGGGCCCGTAGGCGCAGAGCAGGGCATCTCGGGCTGGGGCCATTGAAGAGGTGGTGCTTGCGCTGTGTCTTGATGACAGTGATCCTGGCTGCCACCAGCCAGCACCAGACAGCACTCCTCACTAGGTCATCTTTGCTGCACCTGAGTCCCATCAGGGCCAGACCCTGGTGATGGTGTGCAGGTGATGGATGTGGGCCCGTCTGAGTGGCTGGGGTCCCTGTGGGGTCTCATGTCCTGCCCAGCAGTGAGTGTACTGGCCAGATCTGTACTTTGGCCCTGAGTATGTGGCAGTCCTTGGTAAGTTGCCCTGCACTTGTGTACACACACACACACACACACGCACGCGCGCGCACTTGAGCACACACAGGGATAGCCTTTTTTAGCCAGAGGCTCCAGCCAGCCCTACACCCTGCATCCAAGGCCCCAATCCTGAGACTGCTCTGACCCCTTCAGTAGCTCCCTTTTCCCCAGGACAGTGAGCCAGTGGGGCCAAGGGTGTGTGCCCACCTGGAGCCCCTGCTCTCTTCATCCCTGAGACCATCCTGTGGGGAACTGGTACCCAGGAATTCCCTGTCCCTGTGCCCGGGATCTGCTCCCAGGGCCTGCAAGCTTCCCAGGCTGTGTCTCAGAGGGAGGGCATCACCATCACAGCGGTGGAAGGAGCCCTGCTCAAAGTGTGCAGGGGGCAGCTGAACACGGAGCCCAGTGTCCACACACAGGCCACAGGTGCTGGGTGGAGAAGGGGAGGGTCAGGGGCTGGTCTGTACTCTGTCCCTGCCCACACCTGTTCGAAGTGACCCACACTGCCCTGTGCACATGAACATTCAGCAGGCAGCTGGGGATCTTAGATTTGGACAGCAGCTTCCTGCCAGACAGACTTGTCTCTTTCTCTTCCAGGATCTTCTGGGTCTTCGGATCGGGCTCTGTGCAGGGCAGGGTCATCATTAACCACACAGCGCAGCAGCTGCCAGGTGTCTCGGGCCCCACCAGGGCCGGGGACGGCATGTCAGGTGTGGAAAGCAGCCTGTAGCAAGGCCGGGGGGGGAGGACCCATTGGTGATTGGTGTGGAGAGGGCAAAAGTCCAGATGCGGGGGGAAGGGAGGGTGGGGGGCGGGGGGCGGGAAGCAGGGAACAGTGGGACGTGAGCCTGGAGGGGGTCCCAGGAGGGACTTCTCACTGGGAATGGAGGGGACCCCTGGGGAGCCCCAGGCAGAGGCTTCAGCTGGAGTTGGGATGCTCTGCTGGGTGTCAGCACAGCCATTCTAGGGTCGGAGAACATTCTAGGAGGG